ATTAAACTTTGTTTGATTTCAACAAAAATTGAATATATGGGGTTCTTTGATATGCTGAATTTAAACATGTATTTAGATATAGATGTTTGGCCCAGTTTTCAAGTTGGTCCTAATTGGGGTCCAAAATTAAAATTTGTTTGATTTCAACAAAAATTGAATATATGGGGTTCTTTGATATGCTGAATCTTACCATGTATTTAGATTTTTTATTTGTGGGCCCGCTATCAGATTGGTTCATATTGAGGTCAAAAGGGTCCAAAATTAAACTTTGTTTGATTTCATCAAAAATTGAATTATTGGGGTTCTTTGATATGCCAAATCTAACTGGGTTTTTAGATTTTTAATTTTGGGTCCCGTTTTTTAAATTGGTCTACATTAAGGTCAAAATGGTCCAAAATTAAACTTAGTTTGATTTTAACAAAAATTAAATTCTTGGGGTACTTTGATATGCTGAATCTAAACATGTGTTTAGATTTTTGATTATGGGACCAGTTTTCAAGTTTGTCCAAGTTGGGGTCCAAAATTAAACTTTGTTTGATTTCAACAAAAATTGAATATATGGGGTTCTTTGATATGCTGAATCTAACCATGTATTTTGATTTTTGACATTGGACCATAATAGGTAAATTAAAAAAATTGAAGTTCTTAGACCACATTCTTTCTGTGTCAGAAACCTATATGCTGTGTCAAATATTTAATCACAATCCAAATTCAGAGCTGTATCAAGCTTGAATGATGTGTCCATACTTTCCCCAACTGTTCAGGGTTCGACCTCTGCGGTCGTATCAAGCTGCGCCCAGCGAAGCATTTTATTTTTTTTCTTTTAAAATTTTCCATTTCAAGTTGGTTATTTCTGATTTATATTTAAAAGCAAATAATAATGATATGGTAGGAGATACACACCAAACAGGATGTGTAAATTATTATATAATAAGTATTGTGCAATAGCAAGAAATTTTCAATTGCACAGTATTGCACAATAGCAAGAAATCTTCAATTGCACAGTATTGCGCAATAGCAAGAAATCTTCAATTGCACAGTATTGCGCAATAGCAAGAAATATCCAATAGCACAATATTGCGCAATAGCAAGAAATTGTCAATTGTACAGTATTGCGCAATAGCAAGAAATATTTAATTGCACAGTATTGTGCAAAAGAAGAGTCTTCGTATAAATTGCTTATTTCTTGACCAATTTCAATGGGGTTTTATTCTTGAATTCTTAGGGTTCTTTAATATGCTGTATCTAACCGTGTATTTAGTTTTTGGATTTTGGGCCCCGTTTTTAAATTGGTCCACATTGAGGTCCAAAGGGTCCAAAATTAAACTTTGTTTGATTTCATCAAAAATTGAATTATTGGGGTTCTTTGATATGCCGAATCTAACAGTGTATTTAGATTCTTAATTTTTGGTTCCGTTTTCAAATTGGTCTACATTAAGGTCCAAAGGGTCCAAAATTAAACTTAGTTTGATTTTAACAAAAATTGAATTCTTAGGGTTCTTTGATATGCTGAATCTAAACATGTATTTAGATTTTTGATTATGGGCCCAGTTTTCAAGTTGGTCCAAATCGGGGTCCAAAATTAAACTTTATTTGATTTTCAACAAAAATTGAATATATGGGGTTCTTTGATATGCTGAATCTAACCATGTATTTAGATTTTGGATTTTTGGGCCCCGTTATCAACTTTGTCCACATTGAGGTCAAAAGGGTCCAAAATTAAACTTTGTTTGATTTCATCAAAAATTGAATTCTTGGGGTTCTTTGATATGCTGAATCTAACCATGTATTTAGATTTTGGATATTGGACAATAATAGGTGAATGTCCAATTTAAAATTTTTAAGTTCTTAGACCACATTCATTCTGTGTCAGAAACCTATGCTGTGTCAAATATTTAATCACAATCCAAATGCAAAGCTGTATCAAGCTTGAATGTTGTGTCCATACTTGCCCCAACTGTTCAGGGTTCGACCTCTGCGGTCGTATCAAGCTGCGCCCTGCGGAGCATTTTATTAAAATTGGAGTTATCTTCCTTTGTCCATGATTATAGTTGAATCAACTACAATCAATGCTTAATACAATGCAATGTTTAATTTTGACTTCCACTGATAAAACACAGATCAAGTTGAATTTGGGTAGTGTCACTTTAACCATTATTGAGTTATGCCCCTTTATAAATTGAAAGATTGCAAAATTTTTAGTTTCCATTCTGTAACTTAAGTTTGCCCCAACCAAACATTATGAAACCTATACACAATATTCATTACCACAAGACTAAGATCAAGTACAAATTTTTTGTTTCCGTTTTCTGACTTTAGTTTTTTTAGTTTCTGTTCTCTACTTAAGTTAGCCTCAACCAAATGTTATGAGACTTACACACAATGCTTATTACCACAAAACTCAGATCAAGTTCAAATTTGGGTAGCGTCACTTTTACCGTTCTTCAGTTATGTCCCTGAATAACTATATGATATGCAAGCGGGGGCATCATCTGTGTCCACATGTGGACACTATTCACATTTATTTTTTTGTACCTGAGGTCGTTGAATACAGATCATTATACAAATAAGGAGATATGGTATGATTGCCAATTAAACAACTATCATCCATGCTTACTAGCAGTCAGGGGACTTACTTAAATGAGCGATTTTCTAAATCACTGATTCAAGTAACATTATGTCTATAAAGGTTGGAAGTAAGAGTCGTCTTTCTTTAATAATCACCTATTTAAGTAGTACAAACTAATCACTAGATTAAGTGATTTAATTTTATTGTAGCTTTAAATATAGAATACTAATGATCCAGGGACTAATTATGTTTCTAAAATTATCAGAACCAACATCTGTGTTGATAGGATGACCGGGTCATGTCAGGTGATGACCTTGTACTAAATCTAGGATAATTACATAAAAATCACTTGTTTAAGTATCATACCTCAATTTCCTTCCAAAAAATCACTTCTTTAAGTATCATTATTTTAATAACCCCCACTAATTTCAACACCCCCGAACAGTGAAATTTTCATCGCGAACAGTATAATTTTATTACATAATCTATAAGATGAAACCTAATATGCATTATTAATATTGTTACAGCATGTCCAAGATGAGTTTGATGACTCTAGAGCTTTATAAACAATAGTGTTCATATCCATACATTTGGCATGGTACCACAAGTTACAGTTGTCACATGCTACGTATACTGCTCGCTGTTTCCAGGTGACAGCTTTACTACAGATTTGGCATGGGTATTTAGGTGGACCTGGGTTAAGTTCTGTGTCTGATGACAATAGTAGTAGGATGTAGCTTAAGTACATGAGATGGCGAGAATTAACCCGTTGTATAGAGTATCTGAGGTTCATAAATGCTTCGGGGGCATATGTTCTATAAAGGACATTCCAATACAAAATGGAGCTCATCCTCAATCACGTTCAAATTGTAATATTTACAAAGTCTTTGGCATCTTGGGATATATTCCAATTTACCTGAAGAGTTGAACTTGGGTTCATGAAGGCCAGTTTCAATTCTTAATTTATGATTACTGAATCTCAATTTTGTGAGAATTTTCCAATCATCAGTAATTGATTTAAAATGCATCTACAAAGCTTTTTAAAAGTATTTTGATGGGTAAAAATGGATACAACCTATTGTATATTTCAACTGACAGCCAACAGATAAGGGAGCAACCATTTAACTTCAAGGGGAGGGTTATGGTTTTTTGTCTGAGTCAGAAATTTTTTTCGCGCAAAGCGCAAACATTTTTTAAAAGTTTTTCGATGCTATCAATCAAATTATTTTTTTTCAAAATTTAACACTATAAGGGAGCTACCATTTAATTTTTATAAGTCTGTGCCAAACTGAGTTTCTATCTGCAATTGGGTCACACAGTCATGCCTTATACGTCTGAGGTAGCAATAACTAGTTTGGTGGTTTTGCATTTCTGACAAGGTGGATTTTTCAAATACGAAAGGTATTGTGAAATAAAATTCTTTTTTGAATAGCTGAAGAATAATATATCCTTCAATGTGGATTTATATGAACATCAATATTGTCTTTTTTTATGCTTTATTGACTATTTTCTGTTTAAAAGACAGTATTTACCTATCAATACTGGCCATAGGTCCAGAAGATCTTGTAACAAGGATGCTATTAAACAAAGATTTCCAAGTGGTGAAGTTGAAATCATCTTTTCGTAAATTTAACAGGCACCATCACGAGTTGGTTGACTGTTATGGAATATCTATTTCACAGATGACGACGGAAATGTTCCAATTGTCGTTACCACAATCTCTTCCTCTTCCCCCCGAACTTGACCTACCAAATTAGACTTATCACAGGGTTTGTAATTACATGAGCAACACGACGGTTGCCACATGTGGAGCAGGATCTGCTTACCCTTTCGGAGCACCTGAGATCATCCACGGTTTTCGGTGGGGTTCATGTTGCTCATGCAATCTTTAGTTTTCTATGTTGTGTTTTGTGTACTGTTTTGTTTGTATTTTGATCTTTTGGGTTGTTTTTTTTTGCCATGGCGTTGTCAGTTTATTTTCGACTTATGAGTTTGAATGTCCCTTTGGTATCTTTTGCCTCTCTTTTGTAGTGTTAACAAACACTTGTTTTCTAATCAAACTTTTTTGATGCAATTTTACAAAAAAATGAGAAGAGAGAGTTTTGATTTTTACTTGATCTATTGATGGATACATGTAACTGGTTCTAGAAAAGTTATCACTCTTAGGGATTGAAATTCTACTTTTGGCCAAATTTTTGGGAAATATGTTACATCTTCACACCCGTTTTTGCAATTTTTTGTAGCAAATGAATGCAGATTGTTACCAGTGAGACATCAAGAAGAAATTTATTTCACCATTAAACTCCTTGAAATCAAATCTATGAGAAATGGTGGTTACATGTACATATATATCATGTATATGATACAGGCAAAGTCGTAATTTATATATGTATGTGAGCTTGCTAACTTACGATTAATTTTTTTCAGGAAATATATACTAGATTTGATAATGGTAATCTCAATAAGAGAGACAGGACAGGGATCATGATCTATGTCATCTTAAAAGCCATGAATATGATGTATAGGTTTCGACCATTTCAGTGATAATATTCTGCCTAATTTTGTACAAGGAATAAAGAAGACTTTACAATGGCATCTTTTTCTGTAGATGAAGAAAACTATGTTCGAATGAGTTTGTTACTGACAGGAATTTCTCCACGTGCTGTAAGAACCCTTTTTGATTGTGAGTTTGCTCCAGCACATTTAAATACCTCTCTGAAGAAAGAACATGACAAACTGTTTGAGTTGAAAAAAGAAGGTAAAATCAACCAATCGCAGTGGAACCTCCTGTTTCAAAGATTTCCTGGTAAATACCGAAATAAAATTTTATAATATCATGTATATAAGGATTCGCTGTAAATATACACATAACCCTGCTGCATATATATATACTTTTCATTGTCATACTTTTTTTCTGTTGTACAATATCCTTGTGCAGAAAGTGAACATTACACCACTGTCCAAGGTTAGGGGGAGGGTTTGGCGCCAGCAAACATGTTTAACCCCGCCACATCTTTATGTGCCTTCACAAGTCAGGAGCTTGTAAATGTTGTAGTTCAGTGGTTGTCGTTATAGTTCATGTCTGTCATATTTGGTTTTTGCAAATTGTATTGTTATAAATTAGACTGTTAAGTTTTCTCAATTCGAATGTTTCATAATTTTCATGTCTAGGCCTTTTATAGACAACTATACAGCATGGGTTTTTCTCATTGTTGAAGGCCGTACTGTTGCCTATAGTTACTTACATTCACTTCATTTGAATTTGGTTGATAGTTGTCTCATTGGCAATCCTACCACATCTCCTTATTTTTGTCTCACCTGTGACGAAAGTTGCAGTTCCAGCGGCGGCGGCGATGTAAACTATTTGTATAAAAACAAGGAATTATTTAAATCTGGAATAATTTTGAATTCTGGAAAATTGATGAGAAATATATGATGAAAACTAATCCAACTAAATAGGGATAGCCATGCGCGCATGGCTACTTAAAGGTTAATTTTACTTTCACTAATATTTCAGTATGAACTAACTAACCCCCTTAGCCATGTGTGCATGGCCAACCCTATTTATATTGTAGTTGAGTTAGTTTTCATCATACATTTCTTATCAATTTTCCAGAATCAAATATATAATTCCTTGTTTAAAGCTTTATATTTCAGAAGGTAGAAGACCTGGATGCTTCATACTTTGTATACAGATACCTTATGTTACGAAGTTTCCATCTGTCACATTTCCATTATTGTCCTTGACCTCAGTTTCATGCATTACAAAAGTCTAAAAGTCTGAAAAGACCAGTTTTTGTCTTAATTTGCATGAACTTTTACTCGACATTCTCCAAAAGTATGACTTGTGTCTTAATTTTTCTTGACAAATTCTCATTTATATTAAATTTGTATGAAATTTACTCGACATTCTGAATATGGTCTTAAAATTTCTTGACAAATTCTTGACATTTGAATACTGTCTTGAAATTTCTCGACATATTCTCGACATTCTTAATTTTTCTCAGTATGGCTTGACATATTCTGAACATTTTGAATTTTGTCTTAAATTTACTTGACAGTTCTGAGTTTTACAAATCATGACCAATATTCATGATATAACTTTAATCTTTATTTCTTTTTATATGATATACTGTTGTTTCAAGTTACACTTCTTTACAACAAAAATAAAAGTTGGGCATGTAAAATAATTGAAAATTTGGGTATATAAATATTTTTACAAATGCAAATATGGCTATGAAATCTAAAGTATAAAATAATTCAAATGTGGGTGTGTTGATATTAAACAATTAAGAATTTCAATGTGGGTTTTTAAATAATTACAAATTTTGATTCCTAAATCTTATAAATTAAATGATTCAAACCAATCATACTGTAGACATATTTCATTCTACATTCATAATATTCAATGTTGATATGGTAAATAATTATTATACCAAAATGTGGTTTATATAAATAGCAAATTATGATGATATACAAATCATTCATTTAACAGAAGAAAAATTTGTGTAATGTCATCTGTTGGAATATATTAAGTATTACACATGGACAGGATGTTCCCCATAAAATTAAGGTATTCCACACCCCAGAGTACACGCAACTGTCAAATAGAAGTTATTGCTTTACCTGTAATCAGCCATACAACTTATCAGTTGACCGACCATGCCACTACAATTTAAAAAGTTTGTTGATAGATGAAAATGAAAATCAACATTTTGATGAAAAAAAATTGAATTGAAATGGATTTTCTTCATCAAAATTATGAAGTTAATTATTTTAACAAAAAAACAAATTGAATAATTCCCAAAGATTAAAAGAAAATTATTATCTACTCCAGGAATAATAAAAAAAATGTATTTATAATGGGTCCCATCAATGATTTCTATAGAAATCATCGGTCTTATGAAATGGTTCTCAAACAGACATGCATAATATAGATCTAAACATTTTTTTCTTTTCAGGAAGGAGTTATCACAAATATTTATTTTTGATAAAAAATTATATAATTCAACACTCAAATTTGAATAAAAAATGTTTTTGGGTTGTTCTAAAAAATGAATAAGGTTTTTGAATCAAGATGGGAACAAATTCTTTGACCTAAACGAAAGCCCCCCCCCCCCCCTTTTTTTTAGCCACACAAACCCAAAAGATGAATTGTGGGGTCCAAAAGAGATACAAGACACCTATTTTAGTAAAGCAAATTTGACGGGCAGTTTTGCGAATGGCAAAAATCTAAATGCTGTTTGTCAATACCTTCGACTTATATTCCAAGTGAAAACAATTACTTAAATGTTTAATAAAAATAAATCAAAATTAAACTACATGGGGGATTATTCAGGGTATTCCAACTTAGTTGCACCAAAAGGGTATCTTACTATACCAAATTAATCCTTGATTCTTCAAAGTTTAGTTTAGCCATAATAAAAAGGAGTATATAACAGCAATTGAATGTCATAAACAGTGCAGAATAAGTCTGTTCACATTTCAGGCGAAATTTATACTGTTGAGATAGTGTCAAGACATATTTAAGACTGTCAAGAATGTGTCGAGACATTATTTAGAATGTCAAGAATATGTCGAGACATATTCAGACATTATTAAGAATGTCAAGAATATGTCAAGACAGATCGAGACAAATTTAAGACAGTCAAGAATTGGTCGAGACTAATCCAGACTCTTATCAGATGATACAGGAAGTGTCGAGAAATTTTAAGACAATGTTCATACTGTCAAGGCACTTGTCAAGAAAAATCAAGAACCTTATTAGACAAATTCATACTATGTCAAGAATTTTTAAAAATTATTCAGACAAATTAAGAATGTCGAGTAAAAATTCATGCAAATTCAGACAAAAACTGGTCTTTTCAGACTTTTTGACTTTTGTAGTGATGGTTCAGCAACTGCTTGAAAAAAAAGGAAGTTTTTTTTGTCATGTGAATTTCTCACTTATTATGAGTAATAGGATACTGTAAATTCAGAAATTATTGCGTGCATTTATTATTGCGATTTTGTCATTTTAGACTTAAATGCGATTTTAATTTTTACGATTTTGAGAAAAATCCTGTGTAGTTCATATAAAATATTTCAAAATGCGAGTTTAAATTATTGCGTTTACAACTCTGTCGCATTTGTCGCAATAATAAAAACCTCGCAATAATTTCTGAATTTACAGTAATAATATTTGGTAAACAGTAAAATCACAAAAATACTAAACTCCGAGGAAAATTCAAAAAGGAAAGTCCCTAATCAAATGGCAAAATCAAAAGCTCAAACACATCAAACGAATGGATAACAACTGTCATATTCCTGACTTGGTACAGGCATTTTCTTATGTAAAAAATGGTGGATTGAACCTGCTAGCTAAACCTCTCACTTGTATGACAGTCGCATCAAATTCCATTATATTGACAATGATGAGTGAACAAGACAAACAGACACAATAGGTAAAAATGTCAAAAATAGGGGTACAGCAGTCAACATTGTGTTATCATCTTAATCACTATAAAAACAAACAAATGTAACAAAGAAGCACAAAAAGGCATACATCAAATTTAACATCCTCATTTTGCTTTTTATGCCCCCGCCGTAGCGGAGGGGGCATTAAGTTTTACCCTTGTCCGTCTGTACGTACGTACGTACGTACGTCCGTCCCGAAATTGGTTTCCGTTCTCTAACTTCAGTTTGCCTCAACCAAATGTTATGAAACTTATACACAATGCTTATTACCACAAAACACAGATCAAGTTTGAATTTTGGTGGTGTCACTTAAACCGATCTAGAGTTATGCCCCTTTATAAAAGGAAATATTGCAAAATTTGTAGTTTCCGTTCTCTAACTTAAGTTTGCCTCAACCAAATGTTATGAAACTTATACACAATGCTTATTACCACAAAACACAGATCAAGTTTGAATTTTGGTGGTGTCACTTTAACCGATCTAGAGTTATGCCCCTTTATAAAAGGAAAAATGCAAAATTTTTATTTTCTTCTTAATATCAAGTTTATATAATATATTTTTAAAATTGGAGTTATCTTCCTTTGACCATGATTATAGTTGAATCAACTACAATCATTGCTTTATACAATGCAATGTTTAATTATGACTTCCACTGATAAAACACAGATCAAGTTGAATTTGGGTAGTGTCACTTTAACCATTATTGAGTTATGCCCCTTTATAAATAGAAAGATTGCAAAATTTTTTAGTTTCCATTCTGTAACTGAAGTTTTCCCCAGCCAAACATTATGAAACCTATACACAATATTCATTACCACAAAACTCAGTAAGGATCAAGTACAATTTTTTTGTTTCAGTTCTCAGACGACCCTTTTAGGAGTTATTGACCCTGAAACAATAATTTTTTATGAAATGTCTCAGTTTTTTGTCGAGCCTGCGACTTTTGTCGCAGAAAGCTCGACATAGGGATAGTGATCCGGCGGTGGCGGCGTTAGCTAACTTCTTAAAAGCCTTATAATTTAGAAGGTAGAAGATCTGGATGCTTCATACTTTGTATATGGATGCCTCATGCTACGAAGTTTCCGTCAGTCACATGTCCAATGTCCTTGACCTCATTTTCATGGTTCAGTGACTACAAAAAAGTCAAGATTTTTTGTAATGTTAAATTCTCTCTTATTATAAGTAATAGGATAACTATATTTGGTATGTGCGTACCTTGCAAGGTCCTCATGCCCGTCAGACAGTTTTCACTTGACCTCGACCTCATTTCATAGATCAGTGAACAAGGTTAAGTTTTGGTGGTCAAGTCCATATCTCGGATACTATATAAAGCAATAGGTCTTGTATATTCGGTGTATGGAAGGACTGTAAGGTGTACATGTCCAACTGGTAGGTGTCATCTGACCTTGACCTCATTTTCATGGTTCAGTGGTTATAGTTAAGTTTTTGTGTTTTGGTCTGTTTTTCTTATACTGTATGCAATAGGTCTACTATATTTGGTGTATGGAATGATTGTAAGGTGTACATGTCTAGCTGGCAGGTGTCATCTGGCCTTGACCTCATTTTCATGGTTCAGTGGTCAAAGTTAAGTTTTTGAGTTTTGGTCTTTTTTTCTAATACTATATGCAATAGTTCAACTATATTTGGTGTATGGAAATATTTCATGATCTATATGTCATTCACGCAGGTTTTATTTGACCTTGACCTCATTTTCAAGGTTCATTGCTCAGTGTTAAGTTTTTTGTGTTTTGGTCTGTTTTTCTTAAACAATAAGCAATAGGGCAACTATATTTGTTGTATGGAAGAATTGTTAGCTGTAAATGACTGCCTAGCATGGTTCATCTGACCTTGACCTCATTTTCATGGTTCATTGGTCAATGTTTATTTTACTTGGTTAATTTTAAGTTTATGTGACAGTTGTAATAAAGCTTTATATTTAAGACTATCAACATAATATCAATGATTAGTAAAGAAGGTGAGACATTTCAGCGTGTGCACTCTTGTTGTTATTATCTTGAAAATAAGAAATACCGGGCGTCCGTCCGTCTGGTCTTGTTAGCGCTCTCACATGTACTGTTCTTGCTTGATTTTTATAAAACTTATATCATAGGTTTATATCAGCAATGTCTTGGATGAGTTCGAAAATCAGTGCTGATCAATTATTTTTAAAAGAGTTATGCCCCTTGGAAACATTAATTATATGGAAAATTGCTACGTTAGCGCTCTCTTATGTACAATTCTTGCCAGATTTTTATGAAACTTATATCATAGTTTTATATTAGCAATGTCTTGGACAAGTTCGAAAATCAGTGCCGATAAATTTTTTTTAAAAGAGTTATGCCCCTTGGAAACATTAATTATATGGAAAATTGCATCGTTAGCGCTCTCATGTGTTCAATTCTTGCCAGATTTTTATGAAACTTATATCATAGTTTTATATTAGCAATGTCTTGGACGAGTTCGAAAATCAGTGCCGATTAAATATTTTTAAAAGAGTGATGCCCCTAAGAAACAATAATTATATGGAAAATTGCATTGTTAGCCCTCTCATGTGTACAATTCTTGTCAGATTTTTATGAAACTTATATCATACTCATAGGTTTATATAAGCAATGTCTTAGACAAGTTTGAAAATCAGTGCCGATCAATCATATTTAAAAGAGTTATTCCCGTTGGAAATATTGATTATATTGAAAATTGCAATATTAGCGCTTTCATGTGTACAATTCTTGCCAGAATTTTATGAAACTTATATCATAGTTTTATATCAGCAAATGCTGCAATGTCTTTGACGAGTTCGAAAATCAGTGCTGATCAATAGTTTTTAAAAGAGTTATGCCCCTTGGAAACATTAATTAAATGGAAAATTGCCTTTAATATGAGTGCTCTAATGTGTACAATTATTTCCAGATTTTAATAAAATTTATATTATAGGTTTATATCATCAATGTCTTTGACAAGTTAGAAAAATCTGAGTGCCGATTAAATATTAGGAAAATTTAATTATAATGGAAATTGCATTGCATTTGCTCTGAAATAGCCTTCATTTCTCTAAGATATTTATAAATTGTTTTAAAAAAGAAAGAAAAAAAGATTTTTTTTTAGTTATTGCCCTTATACCTTGGATAGATAAAATATGTGCAATGCAGGGGACATTGGAACTCTGTTTTTTCAGAAACTACGATAGATAGACAGATTTGAATGGCAAAATTGTTCAGCAAAGTAAAACCTACAATTTAATCAACTAGACTGAAGTTGTCAATACAACCCTTATAGGAGATAGCAGTTAGTACGTACCTTTGAAAGACAATACTTTTCATGTTTTTATTTTTTTTGCAGAAACTATGATAGATAGCAGGCTTGGGGTAAATGTAATTGTAATCATTAATCAGCTGTAATGGATTACAATTTTTCAAGTAATCATGTAATCATTAATCAGCTGTAATCTATTACAATTTTTCAAGTAATCATGTAATCATTAATCAGCCAAAAATCTGATTACATGTAATTTAAATTTAATCAATTACTTTTTAAAATACCTTGTAATCATGGTAATTCTGATTACTTTTTGGTTACATTCTGATTAAAGTGAAAAAAAATTCAGATTGTGTTTATGGTCAATATATCATGTCTTAAATAGACTTTTTTTTAATTATTCATAATTAATAAATGTATATATTATAAAAGATGGAAAATATGGATATACATGTAATTTGTTAGGACATCATTACATGGTGAAAGGTAGAAATGACTTGTGTATTATTAGTAAAACTCACTGGTATAGAAATTTATTTTCCCTCATTCCAAAAGTCCTGCACAAAAATCTGCTCAAGACTGGCCATATGCATAGTGATTTCATATCAGCAGTTTTTACCTGTGTTCTGGACCATAACCAGTGACAAATTGTTCATGTGTATATGTTGTGAATCTTTGTGGTTTATTAAATTGATGAAGTTTGAGGTTATTATTTGATAACATATCACATAAAATCCTTTCTCAAAAAGTGCTACAGTTATGACAGTTATATCCTTTATTTAATTAACATCATTCAAATGGGTTATTTTGAAATTCATTGCAATCAGATGTAATCATGATTACTTGCCAATGTAATCATTAATTTATTTAGTTACTTTGAGAAATGGTGTAATCATTAATTTAATTTAATCCTACAATTGACAAAGTAATTGTAATTTAATCAATTACATTGAAAGTAATCAGTAATCAGTAATCTGACAGATTGACAGATTTGAATGGCAAAAATATTCAGCAAAGTAAGACCTACAAAAAAGTACAATTACCGAAATTGTAAATTGATACCTTATAGGAGTTATTGCCCCTGAAAGATGATTTTTACCACATTTTTTTTTTGCGCAGCGACCTATCATATGAGTGAGTGCATGGAGTGCAGAGATTTAATTTTAATTAAATTGGGTAATACACCTGACTGTGTATCATGTTCAAGAATTAAATCAATAAATAACAGTACAATTCCTATAGAAAAATCTATAATAAAGTAATGTAATTTTATGATTTGTATAAACAAGTTTTTCTTATGTTTCTACTCTTATTACCGGTACTTTTATTATCTTATTTTTTATCCAGATTCTAAAAATTTTGATGTGACTCTGATGACAACATTACTGAGGAAGTTGACTCCAATGACTCCTCCACTTTTTGGATTTGATTGTTTACCAGGTGGCATGGAAACCACACCAGCTGCAGATTTAGCAAGACTTAAACACTACAGGAATTACCTGGCTCATGTGAATGATGGCAAAATAGGCATTACATTCTTTACAATGGCATGGAATGATATAACTAGTGTATGTATATATCAATTTTTCTTTCATTGATCTTTGGGAAACTTGGTCAAAGGCATAAAGAACAAAATTGCATATAAACACATTAATAAAAAAGCAGTTATTGGTTTGTTAAGAAATTTTGTCTTTAATGTTTGATAGAATATGTTGTAAAAAAAAAACAAAATGGCTAAATCACCATTTTGGAATCTGATGAATTGTGTGTACACCAAAACGTTGTTCAACCTATTACTTGAAGTTATTTTCATTTTGGGGAAAGAACAATAAAATAACCAATAGTCCTTTAGATTCTTAAACAGTGAATTTCTTCCACCCTTTTGCAAATTATACATACTACATATATGTCTATGATCTATATTCATTGTAGATAAAGACATAAACAGCAAGTGAACATGTTATCCATCAAAGACTTTTTTCAAAGTCCACAAATTTCAGCCAAAAGAATCTAAAAGTTTAATGTGATAACCCTGCTAAGCATCTAGTGCTATTGACATAGTTGAAAACATAGTTTCTTCAGAAATTCTGGTCAACAACCATGATATAACACAACTGACATCATCTCTAAGAATAGAACATATTGCCAAATTAATCAAGGGGAAAATTAAAAAAGAAATTATGTTAAGGATTGCTACTAATCTTTTGGGAAATGGTACTTTGATACTCTATAAGAACTATTTAATATTTTTACTGCCATCAAACATGAACAGCCATACATAATTATGATAAGGTCACTGCCAGACACATTTTGTAATATCAGCATATATATCTGCCATAATATTAAATTTTGAAAAATTTTAAACTATTTGAATGTAAATTTATACTTGATATACAACTCTGAAGTAACATATTTAGACACACATATATCTCTTTTTAGAGCAGAAAATACAGCTTTAAATTCTGGAAAAGAAGTAGACATTTTAAGTTTTGATGAAAAAAGTCCAATTGAAAAATTACATTTGGAGTTTTGTAAATTTTTACTGGGAACTAGAAAGAATGCATCTAATCTTGAAACTAGAGCTGAATTGGGGAGACTTTCTATAGAATTTGATATTTAAACACAAACTTTATTATATTTAAAGAGACTTGAGTGTTGTAAGTTAAATCCTCTTTTGAAAGAAGCTTACATGTTTAGTAAAAATTTAGACACAGAACGAGTATACTCCTGGTTTACCTATGTAAAAAATATTTTATGTGAACTTAATTTAGATATAACACAAATACAACAAGATACTAGTTCAGACCTCAAAATAAATAATTTATTTAAAGGTTATATAAAAACAAGCTCTAATAAAAACTACTTTGAAAATTTAATTCATAATAAGATGCCAAAAATTGATGAAAAAAGTAAACTTTACTTATATAAGAACCTTAAACATGTTAAACCAAATCTATTTTTTGAAGACTAAGAACACCAAACTTTACATAAAGAAAATTAATAACAAAACTAAGAATTAGTGACCATAACTTAATTTATAGAAAAAGGAAGACATTCTAATATTCCTAGAGAGCAGAGATTATGCCTTAAACATGTTAAATGTAACATATTCGGTAGAAGATGAAAAACATTTTTTATTAGATTGTGAATTAAATAGGGAACTGAGAACCATTTTTTTTTATAATTTGGAATTAAATTTTTCTGTTAAAAATTTGTCTGATGAAGAAAAGGTGATTTTTATTCTCAATCCATCAACACCATCACAAGTAAATAAATTGGGGTCCTACATCAAAAAGTCTTTAGAACTGAGGACAGCAGACACTGGACTATTTACTGTTATTAAATGATTGTGTATATATATATATGTGAATTTCAGTTATATTGTCTACTTATTTTGTATCTGTCACAAACTCTTATTGTTTAAAGTTTATATGACAATAAATATTTGAAATTGAAATTTGAACTAAAATTACCTTAGATTTGTGTCCAAGAAATTTTACCACCAAATGTACAACTTATAAACAATTCCTTGAAAAGTTTTTTAAACTGATAGAATTTTTATACGACTGCAAACAAATTTTGCAGTCGTATATTGGTATGACGTTGGCGTCGTTGTCGTCGTCCGAAGACACATTGGTTTTCGCACAATAACTTTGATTTAAGAGAATGGATCTCTATGAAATTTTACCATAAGGTTCAATACCACAAAAGAAAGGTTGGGATTGATTTTGGGGGTTATGGTACCAACAGTTAAGGAATTAGGGGTCAAAAAGGGGCCAAAAATAAGCATTTTTGTAACTTCCAGACAATAACTTGTGTGTTAGTGTATGGATCTCTCTGACATTGTACCACAAGGTTCCATATCACAAAGGGAATGCTGGGATTGATTTTGGGTGTAATTGCCTCAAAATTTTAGGGATTAGTGGCCAAAAAAGGGGCAAAAAACAAGCATTTTTCTAGTTTCATGACAATAACTTGTGTGTAAGTGTTTGGATCTTTCTGAAATTGTACTACAAGGTTCCATATCACAAAGAGAAAGCTGGAATTGAGTTTGGGGGTAATTGCCCAAAACGCTTAGGAATAAGGGGCCAAAAATAAGCATTTTTCTAGTTTCCAGACAATAACTTGTGTTCAAGTGTATGGATCTCTCTGAAATTGTACTGCAAGGTACCATACCACAAAGGGAAGGCTGGGATTGATTTTGGGGGTAATTGCCTCAAAATTTTAGGAATTAGGGGCAAAAAACAAGCATTTTTCTAGTTTCAGGACAATAACTTGTGTGTAAGTGTATGGATTCCATATTACAAAGTGAAAGTTGGGTTTGAGTTTGGGGGTAATTGTTCTAAACGTTTAGGAATTCGGGGCCAAAAAACAAGCATTTTTACAGTTTCCAGACAATAACTTGTGTTCAAGTGTATGGATCTCTCTGAAATTGTACTGCAAGGTACCATACCACAAAGGGAAGGCTGGGATTGAGTTTGGGGGTGATGAATCATAAGGGGGTTCAAAAAATTGGGGGGGGGGGGATTTTTTTTCCCTTTTTTTATTTTATTTCCTTTTTTTCCTTTTTTTTTTTTCTTTAAAATTTTCCATTTTAAGTTGGTTATTTCTGATTTATATATAAAAGCAAATAATAATGATATGGTTTGATTTCATCAAAAATTGAAATATTGGGGTTCTTTGATATGCTGAATCTAACCGTGTATTTAGATTCTTAATTTTTGGTCCCGTTTCCAAATTGGTCGACATTAAGGTCCAAAGGGTCCAAAATTAAACTAAGTTTGATTTTAACAAAAATTGAATTCTTGGGGTTCTTTGATATGCTGAATCTAACGGTGTATGTATTTAAATTTTGGATATTGGACCATAATAGGTAAATTAAAAAAATTTAAATTCTTAGACCACATTTATTCTGTGTCAGAAACCTATGCTGTGTCAAATATTTAATCACAATCCAAATTCAGAGCTGTATCAAGCTTGAATGTTGTGTCCATACTTGCCCCAACTGTTCAGGGTTCGACGTCTGCGGTTGTATCAAGCTGCGCCCAGCGGAGCATTTTATTCCTTCTGTATTTAAAATAGTTTGAGCATCCACCAATGGGAGTTATCATCAATTAGCATTTCTGCCTATAAACTTTCAGCAATAAAAGATCATCAAAAAAACCCCAATACATGTATTACTGAAACCATAAATAAACTTCTTATATGTCGCACTTTGTAAATATAGCTGATTCACAAACAATGCCTCTTTTGGGGAAATACTTAATATTCATAGATATTTTGTTTTGTTTACTTAACTGGTTCCCACATGTGATCTCCATGTTTCATCTCATAGAGACACAACTTTGGAATTTTACCAGTATAAAGACAGTTGGGTAGCAGTCAAATTGAATTGTCAGGAAGACTCCAGGTAAAGAGAGGGGTAATACAGAATTTTAGTATAAGTTTAAACTCTTAGAAGTTTGAGGCACATAAATGTTTAAAATATGCCGCACAGCCCTATGTTTTGACCTATGCAAAAGAAAGTAGTGCATGTGAACTTTCCATTCCATAGCAACAAATTACAGACCCATATCTGTTCTTCCATCTCTATCAAAAGTATTAGAAAGGCATGTCTCAAATAACATGTACAAGTACTTGTCTAAATTTAAACTTTAACATCCTACACAATCAGGTTTCAGGCCACATCATTCTTGTCAAACTGCACTTATTGATATCATTGACAAATGGCTGAAAGAAATGAATGATGGTAATTTAAACCTAGCAATTACTGTTGGACTTCAAAAAAGCATTTGATCTTGTAGATCATGACATTCTTTGCTTAAAGCTTGCTATTTACGGATTCAGTGAGTCTGCAGTAGGTTATTTCAGGTCATACCTAAGTAATAGAACACAGCAAGTAAACATTTGCAATGTTAATTCTGATAAAAATAGATTGGAAATTTGGTGTCCCCCAAGGATCTATACTAGGTTCTCTATTAATTGTCTTATTTATAAATGACCTTCCCCTTTGCATTAAAAATTGTAAAACAGACTTGTATGCTGATGATACTACTCTTCATAAATCCGGGAAAAACATAGAAAATTTACATGATGATGTACCAGAAGATTTATGAAGAGTTGAAGAATGGTGCAAAATGAATAATATGTTCATCAATACAAAAAAAACAAAATGTTTGGTTACTGGAACAAGTCAGAAGTTATCAACTCAATCTTTTCAACCAAATTTACTAATAAATTCAGAAACACTACAAAATTCATCATGTGAAAAATTATTAGCTGTTAAAATTGACAGCACACTTAGCTGGACAAATCAAATTGATCAAATTTGTGCTAGCATTTCATCAAGAATATACCTTCTTTCTAAATTAAAGAAATTTTTAGATATTAATGCCAGGAAAGCATACTATAATGGGTATATTCTGTCACTCATTGATTACTGCTGTATTGTTTGGGGAGAATGTAAAAATGAAGGGATAGTAAGAATATTAAAACTTCAAAAAAGAGCAGCAAGATTAATTCTTGATGCAGACCCTTTATCCCCATCAGCCCCCTTATTTAAAGAACT